CCTCAGTATCTTATCCGATAACTTGCCTACCACTGATGTCAGGCTCACTGGCCTGTGGTTCCCTGGCTTGTCTTTGCTACATTTCTTAAACAATGGAACAACATTAGCCAACTTCTAGTCTTCTAGAACTTCACCACTGGCTAAGGATTAAGCAAAAAATCTCTGCAAGGCTCTCTGCAATTGCTTCCCTAGCCTTCCATAACATCCGAGGATGGACTTGATCAGGCCCAGGGGATTTATCCACCCTAATGCGCTTTAAGGCTGCAAACGCCTCCTCCCTTGTAATGTGCAAGAAGTCCAAAACATCCCCACTTGCTTCCCTTATTTCCTTAGCCTCCATGATTCTCTCCTCAGTAAAACACTGAGGAGAAATATTCATTAAAAATCTCCCGCTTCTCCTGTGGCTCCACACATAGACAGCAATGCTGATCTTTAAGAGGCCCTATTCTCTCCCTAGCCACCTTTTTACGCTTCATATAACTATAGAATCTTTTAGAATTATCTCTAACCTTATCTGCCAGATCTGTCTCATACCCTCTTTTTGCTCTTCTGATTTCCTTCTTAAGTGTGCTCCTACACATTTTATAGTCAACTAGAGATTCACTTGAGCCCGATTAGCTGAAACGCAATGTATGCCTTCTTTTTCCTGACCAGAACCTCAATATCCCTCATCAGCCAGGGATCCCTAAACCTGCCAGCTTTTCCCTTCACCCCAACAGGGACATACTGTCCCTGGACTCTTGAAATCACACTTTTAAAAAAAGCCTCCCATTTGCCAGCCGTTCCTTTTTCTTCAGGCCCACCCAATCGACCTCTGCTAGATCCTGCCTAATGTCCCCAAAATTGGCCCTGCTCCACTTTAGCACCTTAACCTGTGGACCTGTCCTATCTTTTTTCCATGACTATGTTAAAACTAAGAGTTATAGTCACTGGACCCAAAGTGCTCTCCGACTGACATTTCAGTCACTTGCCCAACCTCTATTCCTAAGAGGAGGTCCAGTGTTCACCTTCCTGAGTAGGGCCCTTTACATATTGATTTAGGAAACTGCCTTGGTCACATTTGAGAAATTCCACCTCGTCTGGGCCTTTTACACTCTGGGTGGCCCAGTTAATGCAGGGAAATTTAAAATCTCCAACCAATACTACTCTATTATTCCTACAGGTATCTGCAATCTCTACACATCTGCTGCTCTAGTACCCTCTGGCTATTTGGGGATCTATAATACAGTCCCCAGAGTGACCATCCCCTTCGAGTTTCCATATTCTAACCATATGGCCTCACTTGATGACCCCTTAAGAATATCCTCTCCAAGCACTGTTGTTATGTGCTCCCTTATCAAAAGGGCAACTCCCCCCACCTCTTTGCTCACTTGTACTTCTGTCACGCCTGTAGCTTCTGTATCCTGGAACATTGAGCTGCCAGTTCTGCCCTTCTCTCAGCCACGTTTCTGTGTATCCCAGTCCCCAGAGCCAATCCATGCTCTGAGCTCACCTACCTTACCAGTCAGGCCTCGTGCATTGAAATAAATGCACTTCAAACCAGACGTCTTTTCCCTCTCTTTACTGTACCCCTGGCTATCCTGAATAGTAAACTTCCTCTTGATGGCTAACGTATTTTCCCCGACTTCTTGACGGCGACTCTCTTATTCAAAGTCCCACCCCCTGCCAAATTAGTTTAAACCTCCCGGTTAACACTAGCAAATCTCCCCACAAGGATATTGGACCCTCTGGTTCAAGTGCAACCCCATCCCTCTACAGGTCACCTCTACCCCAGAAGAGATCCCAATGATCCAAGAACTGAAAACCCTGCCCCCTACACCAGCTCCTCAGCCACGCATTCATCTGGCCTATCTTTCTATTTCTATCCTCACTGGCATGTAGCACTGGGAGTAATCCAGAGATCACTACCCTTGAGGTCCTGCTTTTTAACTACTTACCTAACTCCCTGTACTCATTTCGCAGGATCCCATCCCTATGTCATTCGTACTGATGTGCACAATGACCTCTGGCTGTTCACCCTCCCCCTTCACAATGTTCTGCAACCGCTCAGAGACATCCTTGACCCCGGCACCCAGGAGACAACACATCATCCTGGTGTCTCTTCTGTGGCACAGAATCTCCTGTCTGTCCCCTTCACAACTGAGTCTCCTATCAGCATCACTCTGTCTGACTGCACCCTTTCCCTCTGAGCCTCAGGGCCGGTCACAGTGCCACTGACCTGACTGCTGCTGCTGCTAGCCCCTGAAAGGTCACCCCCCCCCTCCAACAGTATCCAATGTGGTATACCCATTATAGAGGGGAATGGCCACAGGGGAACACTGCACCATCTACTATCCCCATTTACCACTTCTGGCGGTCACCCAGCTACCTGCAGCCAGCACCTTAGGAGTAACCACTTCATTATAGCTCTTATCGATGATGTTCTCTGCACCCCAGATGATCCCAAGAGCATCCAGCTCCAGTTCCTGTTCTGTAACACGCTCTGTCAGGAGCTGCAGCCGGGTGCATTTCTCACAGATATAGCCATCAGGGACGTCTCCACAGTGTCCCACTTCCTGCAAGAGAAGCATACCACTGCCCTAACTGACTCTCAGCCACCCTCTGATTCACTGCTCATCTTCACCATCTCACAGAGGATGTCCTATGGAGGTCTCCAGTACAACCATGATGACTGTGGCAAAACTCCCAGAGTTTTACTGTGATGACTCTCAGCTGCCCTCTGATTTGCTCTCTCAGCTGCCCTCTGATTCGCCCTCTCAGCTGCCCTCTGATTCGCTTCCATGCTGTATGACTCTATGACTCTAATTAAAGAAGCTCTTGCTGTCTGCATTGATATTACTTACAAGTTTTTGCTCAAGCTTAATTTTTTTCCCTCTCTTATATTTTTGGTCATCTTTTGTCGATCCTTTTCGAATCTTTCCCAATCCTATAGTTTACTACAATTTTTTGCCGTATTATGTATTTTCCTTTCAGTTTGATGTTTTGCTAAATTTCCAAGGTTAACCATGGTTGATTTATCCCCTTCCTAGTATCCTTCTTCCACACTGGAATATGTCTGTTGTGAGCCATGGGCTATTTTGTTAAATGTCTGCCAGTGTTCCTCAACCCTCATTCCTTATTTAAGTTTAGCGGTGCTTCCATCCAAAATTCCTCCCTCTGAAACTGAATGTTAAATTCAATTATGTTATGGTCACTGCTTCTGAGGGGATTTATTACTCTTTCATCCTTTATTAAACCTGCCTCATTACACATCACCAGATCCATCCACTACATACTGTTCTTGGAAATAATCCTGAATGCTGCCAATGAACTCTTTCTCATGGATACTCTGCCAATCTGACTTTCCCAATCCAGATGAAGAATAAAGTCACTCTTAAATAATGCACTACCTTTTCCACTTGAAATCCCTACAGGCCATTCAGCCCATCGTCCAAAGAGCATCCCAACCAGACCATCTGGTGTGTCTGGCTGTGTGGTGTCTTCTTGCTGTGACACACTAGTCACCTTCCCATACTTCAGAAACATATCAGAGATGACCACAAGACTACTCAGACCCCTAGGTATCAGTGTAGCCCACAAACCAACAACCACCCTGCGACAGCTACTGATGAACATAAAGGAGCCCATACCCACAACCAATAAAACTAACGTAACATACAAAATACCATGCAAGGACTGTGAGAAACTTTACATAGGCCAAACTGGAAGGAAACTGACAATAAGGATACACAAACACCAACTAGCCACCAAGCGACATGACCAATTCTCACTGGCCTCAATACACATGGACAAAGAAGGACATGAATTTGACTGGGACAACACAACCATGATAGCACAAGCCAAACAGAGACATGCCAGGAATTTCTGGAGGCCTGGCATCCCAACTGGAACTCCATCAACAAACACATTGAACTGGACCCGATATACAAACCACTGAAAAACAGAACCAGAAGTAATGCCAACCATCCCAGCAAACTGAGGCATATAAATAACAAGCGAGACAGAATACCAATGCTTCACTAGAGGTGCACTGAAAATGTTACCTCGCAGGGTGAAGAAATGTCTACAACCAAACACAGTGACTTGGCGAGCAAGTCTACAACCTCAGTTATTTGATTGGCCGGGTATATGAATAGGAAGGGTTTAGAGGGATATGGGCCAAATGCTGGCAAATGGGGCATTAAAATCAGAATCCCTACAGCAAACAAGCAGGCCATTTGGCCCATCAAGTCCACACCAACTCTCTGAAGAGCATCCTACCCAGACCTGCCCACACTACCCTACTTTTTCTCCACAGCTAACTCATCCCTGGGCACTATAAGCATGGCTAGTCCACCTGATCTACATGTCTTTGGACTGTAGAATGAAACCAGAGCAAACCCATGCAGACATGAGGAGAACATACAAACTCCACCCAAGCTATTGGCCAGAGGGTAGAATTGAACCCAGCCCCCTGGCTTTGTGAGGTAACAGTGCTAACCCACTGAGCCACTGTGCTGCTGCAATGCATTGGGAGCACTCTTCCGAAGTTTTAAGATAGAAGTAGCTAGGTTGTTGACAGGCAAGAGTTGAAAAGGTTATCCAGTCTAGGCAGATTCAGTTCTTTTTGAAAAATGGAACAGGCTCGAAGGGCTGAATGGTCTAATTGTGTTCCTAATTTGTAAGTACATGTGTATGTAGGTCAGTCAGTGCAAATAGTTGTCCAGGTCCAGCAGATCTCTGAACCAGACACTGTTTGCAATAGGTGGAGTTTTGACAATTTGACAGCACTGAGTGTTGCGTTTGTTGTAGAGCTGTATTGAGCATCTTTTATACTTAGTGATTCATTTAATTTTGCAACTTGTTTCAGCTAGAAAAGCTGTGTTGCACATGTACAGCGCAGCATTTCGACAATCATGTTGTTTTACGGGCAAGCTGTTTCTGAAGGAACCTAACTCGGTCTTTACAGTCTCCAATCTGTACGACAAGATAATGTAACACAAATATGTTATTTTTATCAGGCATTTATGCAGCGAATGATGCAGCATGTTGCTTCTAAAGTTGACAAGAATGTGACCGAAGAAACTGTTAAGGTAAGAGTGCATAAGAAAGAATAGCGAAAGGTTAATCAGCCCTCATACTTCATATCTTGGCAGCCTCCTTTCAGTGAGAGTAGATATTAAAGACATTAACAATGGCCAATGGCCATATGAGGAATAGTGTGCTGGCTGAAAAGATCTGAAACCTGGCACCAAGCTCATGAGCTAGAGCTACAGTGTTGCCTGCCCTTCTGTTTCAGCCATTGACATGAACAATGCATAGCAATGCACCTCAGATCCTTAGAGAAGTAACCCCAGCAAACCTTTGGCAACATCTTGCAAATCCACTGGCAGGGTACAAGCTCCAATATCAATGACCTCTCTCAGGCCTACATCCCCAGAATTGAGGTACTGATCTCGATCAGATGGGCCAATAGGCTGATGAGTGGCAGATGGAGTTTAATTTAGATAAATGCGAGATGCTGCATTTTGGGAAGGCAGATCAGGGCAGGATTTATACACTTAATGGAAAGGTCCTGGGGAGAGTTGCTGAACAAAGAGACCTTGGAGTGTAGGTTCATAGTTCCTTGGTAGTGAAGTCCCAGGCAGATAATATAGTGAAGAAGGCATTTGGTATGCTTGCCTTTATTGATCAGTGCATTGAGCATAGGAGTTGGGAGGTCATGTTGCAGCTGTACAGGACATTGGTTAGGCCACTTCTGGAATACTGCGTGCAAGGATGTTGTGAAACTTGAAAGGGTTCACAAAAGATTCACAAAGATGTTGCCAGGGTTGGCGGGTTTGAGCTACAGGGAGAGGCTGAATAGGTTGGGGCTTTATTCCCGAGAGATGCGAAGGTTGAGGGGTGACCTTGTAGAGATTTATAAAACCATGAGGGGCATGGATAAGGTAAACTGACAAGGCCTTCTCCCAGGGTGGGGGAGTCCAAAACTAGAGGGCATAGGTTTAAGGTGAGAAGAGAAAGATTTAAAAGGGATCTAAGAGGCAACCTTTTCACGCAGAGGGTGTGTATGTATGGAATAAGCTGCCAGAGGAAGTGGTGGAGGCTGGTACAATTACAACATTTAAAAGGCATCTGGATGGGTATGTGAATAGGAAGGGTTTAGAGGGATATGGGTCAAATGCTGGCATGGACGAGTTGAACCGAAGGGTCTGTTTCTGTGCTGCATATCTCCATGACTGTATGACTGTCAAGTTACTTTCACCCTGAGTGCATTAGAGGAACTCAAGATCACAATAAGGTTATAATTGGTTCCTTATTATCAATGTGGAGTGAATGCATGTGAGCTAAGGCAGCTGTATAGACTCAAAAACATGTCTTTTGAAGCCTTTGGGCTAGGGAGGTATAAAGAAACCTACCTAAGGATTGCTGTTTCTATTTTTTTCATAGTTCATTGAAAGACTGAAATGTGTTTCTAGTGTGAATAGGATCAGTCCTGTTATGGTGTCCTCTGTGGTCACAAGTGGACTGTGTTCTTACAACTGAGAACCACTACGCCAGTGGTGTGCTTGAAAACTGATGGGGCATGTTAACATTAGTTCCTGTCTGCAGTGAAGTTTCGGAAGAAACATGTCTGTGGGGTGGCTGTGTGAGGACAATGGGATTATGATGTTAGGAAAAATTAGGGCTTTTTGTTAGAAGTTTGTCTTCACAGAAAGTAACCCAGATTTGATAATACAATTGGATAATTTTCCACCACTTTGACTTTGTTCACGATGTGATTTCTGATGTCTACTTCCAGACATTGTTCTCCAATATTGAGGACATACTTGCTGTGCACAAAGAATTCCTGAGTAATATTGAGGAGCGTCTGTTGCCTGAACCTAGTGCCCATCATGAATTGGGAAGCTGCTTTCTTCAGTTTGTACGTATTGGTAACTCTGGCTGTACTGACTGACTGCAATATTTTCTTCTGTTATTGAGCTAGTAGTTAAAGCATAGCTTCCTATTGAAGGTAGATTAACTACAATAAGCAGTATTGTTAGTGGAAAAAACATATTTTATGCATTCAGTATATATGTGTGTGTATGTAAAACTGTATTGAATAATGTCATTGCTTCATTTGCTTTGCTAAAAGGCCAACAATAAATTATGCAGGACATGTTAAAACATAAAGATCTGTAAACAGCTGTTGATTGCATTCTGTAGTTCAGTAATGATAAAAAATTTAGGGGCGTGGATAGGAAGAATAGCCAAGGTTAGGGAGTCCAAAACTAGAGGGTATAAGCTTAACATGAGAGGGGAAAGATTTAAAAAGGACCTGAGGGACAACCTTTTCGCACAGAGGGTGGTGCATGTATGGAAGGAACAGCCAGGGTAAGTGGTGGAGGCTGGTACAATTACAACATTTAAAAGGCACCTGGATGGGTCTATGAATAGACAGGATTTAGAGGGCTAGGGGCCAAATGCCAGTAAATGGGACTAGATTTATTTAGGATATCTGGTTCGCGTGGACGAGTTGTACTGAAGGGTCTGTTTCCATGCTGTACAGCTGTCTGACTCTGTAGCTCTATAAGTGTTTGACATCTGCTCCTTACTGGGACATCAATGTTACAGTCACATATGTAACTGCAATTTTTTGCCCCAAGATGGAGATACCTAAATATTAGAAGCTGTCAATTCCCTTGGCAGTCTCTAGCATTGCTAATATACTCTGAAAGAAATGTGCTTTGTACCTGCCATTCCATGGACAAAGTTAAAAAAAAATCACTAGTTAAGGAAAATAATATAAAAAGAAACAATTGATAGTTTTTTTTGATGCATATTGAAATGTTCAATAAAATCTGCAGATAAATATTTGATCACGCTTTGTATAAAAGTAAAGGTTATAGTCTCCCATTTGAGAAATATAGCATAACTTTTCTAAGTTAATACAACAATCTAGTAGGTTGCTCTCATTAGCAGGGGTTTCTGTGCTTGCAACCAGTGATGCTGGCAGGAAATAATTCTACCTCAAAATTGTAGCTTGAGCTTTGTAGATACAAATTCCTGTTAAGTGCCTTACAGGCTTTTAAAAATAATATGACCTTTATGCAGGTATTGATGATCTTGAGGTGAGTGATGAATATATCCTGATAAAATTTTGTGAATTTTCCCTATTGTTAAACATAGTTTGATTTGATGATGGAAGACAGTGACAATCTATGTTTTTGATTGGTTTTATTGAATATTAAGCATGTGACATGACAATAACTTGTGCTATTTCCGTTTTATTGATAATTTTCTACATATCTTCTGGAAAATAAGGCTCCAGGTGTGTATTATGTAGAAAACTGCGCAGAATATGGAAATAATGTACTGTGATTGAAATGACAGTCACAGTATTTTAGCTCATGAGTGAAATAACTGCACAGAGGCTGATATCCCATCATTAAGTGTCCCTTTATTTGTACGTGCACAGTACATGGGCTCTGACCACCCAGGTCAAATACAGTCCTGAGAGTGAGGAGACTCTCTGAATCTCCTGTTTATATCTGTCAGCCAGGGATCATTGCTTGGCCCAGGTTAACAACCCCAATCAAGGATCTCATAGTCAATGAGATCCACCTGACCCTCATTCTAGTCACCACAATGGGCCAGTGGCCCTGCCAAGTTTTAGACAGGTCTGAACAGTTCCCCAAACCATTCTTTGGAACTGGTGTTTGGAGGAGCAGAATGGAAGCTTGATGTTAACTCGGGCCTTATTAGTACATGGATCAATCCACAAAGGTAGCAGCGTGTATGTCATTCTAGCAAGCAAAATTGAATCACTATGTTACTATCCCCTTTTGAAAGTAAGTCCTGCACTTTAGAAAGCAAGTGACATCTCTTTGGATTTGAACTGCCTAAGTGACAATGTCATTGTTCACTCACTCCATCACAACTCCATACCCATGAATTTTGGTGTGTCAAAAGATCCAATTGGCTGTGTTGAATTTTGTTTCCTTTCACTGCATGATCTAGTTACATCACCTCCAGCAATAAGCAATGCCAAATTGTGTTCTTGTTTGAATTCCTTTATTATTGAACAATTATTTAACTCGGGAATTCTGCTGCCAGTGTTGCATTGTAAATGGTTGCAGGTTGGATAGCTCAGTTGGCTGGACGACTGTTTGTGATGCAGACACCAATAGGATAGTTTCCATTTATACATTGACTAAGGTTAACATGAATCTTCTACCATCGCAATCTCGCTCCTTGCCTGAGGTGTGGTGAACCTCAGGTTGAACCACCGCCTGTCTCTAATGAGAGACCAGACCTACAGTTCTCTGGCGAAGTGGCAACGTTACCTATTTTGTTGCAATTGGTATGTTCAGAGATTTTATCTACACTAACCAGGATATTTTTCAGCACTAACCAACAATTCACAAGAGTTGCTTACAGTGTTTTTTTTCTTGGAAATACAGAGACATCGATTTTCTATCTATGATGAGTACTGTAGTAATCAGGAGAAAGCACAAAGGCTACTTTTGGAACTAAACAAAATACAGACTGTGCGGACCTTTTTACTGGTAAAGTCTTCTTTCCTTCTTCATAACTGAAAACATTTAGCTAAATGGTTTGAAACCAAGAAGTGGTAAAAGATTTTTCTGCAGTAATAGTGATTCACATTCAGTGATACACATTCAGTGATAAATATGAATTTTAGATAAGATGTTCTTGATATGTAAGTGGGTGGAATTGATTAAAAAGATACTGGTAAGACTTGCTGCCCATCTGGGTGCGCTCTGTTAAAATCATTCTTTAAAACTGTAGGTTACTGGTGTTATATGTTTTGTGGATGCAAAATGATCAATGTTTGGTCATTCATTATCATAAACCTCCTGCCTGAACTACACATAACATGCTGCAGAACTGTAGCACAATATATACACAATGCTGTTCTTGAATTGCACTGCAATTGCATTACCTTGGGAAACCAGGAGTCAGATAGGGCTGTCCATCAGGCAAAGTAACACCATTAGGTAGAAACATTAGTTCAACAGAAGGATTTGCACCTGTACTGTCAAGTGGCTTGTGTTTTCTTAACAGATGTTGTGTGCCTGCCTGCCTGTTGAATGTCTCCAACTTTTTTTGTTGCAGATTTTCAATATCAAAATTGATACTTTGCAAATTTGTTTGTACATTATTGAACCACATTAATTATAATGATCTATTTGTGGATGAAATAAATCGCTTTCAAATCTCAAAGCAAGCAACTAATAAATAAAATATGAAATTTTTGCAAGCAAAGTAAGTGGATTAATTGTTTAGAACTTTAATTGATTTTGTGGTGTTGATGCAGACCAGAGACAGAATCATCTTTCTAGAGTCTAACACTTAAGTTAGTTTGGGACTGACCATATGTAGGAAACATGGATGACAATTTGCCTGAACTTTTATTCCAAGAGTCCTTGGTGCTTCAGATGATATACCAAAGCTGTGCCTTTTGATTCCATGGGTGCCCAGAATATGTGTCCTTTCCTTTCAAATCTACTGATAGAACAGGGACACAAGACCTCTGTAAGCCTATAATTCAGATTCTTTTTGAGCTGAATTGAATTGAATTGAATTAGCTACATTAGGTATGTAGGTACGGATTCTTGAATACAAATCCTTAGGGGAAAAAAAATTAGAAAAATAAATAAATAAATGGTACAGCATTACTGAAATTTGAAAGTACTAAATCATAGAAACAAATTAGAAAAATAAACAAATAAAAAGTTCAGAATAACTGTGCTTCCACCATAATATAGAAAAGAAAAAAGTTTGTTTTGGCACCACAAATCTTGGTAATTCAATTTCCCAAACACTGAAAACAAACATTGACCTTGTAACATCATATATTTATTGCTGCACTGTGCACTGGTTTTATTCACTGAATCTTTACATCATTTTTTGTTCCTTAGATATGGGCTATTGTCCATCCCTGATAGTCATTGGTAAGATTGTGGTGAAATGTCTATTTTTACTGCTGCATTGCATGTGTTGGAGATACACCCCAAGTGCAGTTAAGTCGGGAATTCCAGGATTTTGACTCATGAAAGTTTATCATGCTGATAAAAGAACAGCAATATATTTTGAAATAGCAGTGTGACTTGGGGAAACTTGCAGATGGTGGCATTCATGTTTTCTGAGATGGTTGAGGTCCTGAGCTTGTTGAAGAAGTCTTGGCAAGTTGCTAAAGCATCTTTCAGATGACACAGACTGCAGTCACTGAGCACCCATAGTGGATAGAGTGCCAGCCAAGTGCTTTGTTCTGCATGTTGTTAAAATTGTAAATTGTGTGAGGTAAGGTTTGTGATATATTTTAATATAATTTGTAATTTGTAAAGGAGTGAGCAGATAGGTGGAGATGGAGCCCAGCGAGAGAGGGGAACAAGAGGATTATTGATAGTGAGCTAGGGAAGAAGAAGAGCTAGAGAGATGTTAATGGGGGTTATGGGTGGGTGATAATGGGTTGGCTGTGCTAAAATCAATCCATGTGATGACAGGTCCTGAGGTGTGGGGGATGGGTAAAGGACATGGAAGGAAGTGTTTAGGCTCTAAAATTATTGAATTTGATACTATATCAATTTATATATTAATATATATATAAAAAATATAAAATAATAGAAGGTAGTGAATATGTATCAAATATACATTGGCTACTCTCTCTATGCTGGTAATTCCATACCTTAGTAAAATTGCTCTGTGACATTAGGGCACAGTAGGTTTGTAGGGAACTAGTACCTGGGTTTTTCACTGCTTGACTTTTTTTTCCTTTGAAGTTTGGATACTGATTGTTCATTCTCTTCATGGTAACTCGTTTCCTGTCACTATCACTAGTTCGAATTTAAAAATCACAACAATATAAGTTAACGGAGAATTGAAGTTGTCATATGCTACTGATGTCCTACAAATTCATTTTGTGCTGCTGTTGGAGATCAGTTTCACTCCCATAGTATGTGAGAGAGCAGTTTCTTTTGCATGGACTAATAGGGTCATGAAACACACTCCAAATCCACTCACTAATATTTTGTCAACCATGTTTCTGGTTTTTAGCTAGCTTTCTTATCTCTCCTCAACCTTGTTCATTGACTTCCAGTTTGTGTCAGATATAAGTTTGCTATCTTACATGCTTTTCTCCCTCCCTACATTCTGACTCATGCCAAATTAAAATTCAACAAACATTCTTGTGTTCCTATTCATTCTCTTATAAAAGTACTATAGAATTCCTTACATCCTTCCATTTTGATTTGATTTGATTTGATTTATTGTTGTCACATGTACCTAAGCACAGTGAAAAGTTTTGTTTTGCATGCAGTACAGGCAGATCATAACTTACAAAGACCACAGGGTGATGGAACAGAGTGAGGAATACAAAGTTATGGCTACAAAGAAGGCACACAAAAAGCAAGATCAACATTAGATGTGAAATTTGAGATGTCCATTCAGAAGTCTAATTACAGTGGGGACGAAGCTGTTCTGGAACCTGTTGCTATGTGTGTTTAAGCTTTTGTGTCTTCTTCCTGACTGAAGAGGTTGGAAGAGATTATAACCAGGGTGGGAGGGGTCTTTGTTAATGTTGGCTGCCTTTCTGAGGCATCGTGAAGTGTAGACGGAGTCCGTGGCTGAAAGGTTGGCTTGCGTGATGGTCTGGGCTGTGTTCACAACTTTCTGTAGTTTCTTATGGTCCAGGCAGAGCAGTTGCCATACCAAGCCATAATGCATCCAGATAGAATGCTTTCTATGGTGCATCTATAATAGTTGGTGAGAGATTGTCCAGATTTTGGTCTTTTGAATCATCTTCACAATTTATATAAACATCCTGTGCTAGAGTCTTTCGATCCCCAATTAAAGTGGCATTGATTTTAAAGTTCTCCTTGCTGATTTGTAAGTTATCAAAGCATATCACCTTCAAGAGAAAAGGCATGATGGAAATCAGTTGTGAAAGTGTGTCATTAAAGATTTTGCGAGAGTATCTTATAATTAAAAACATGACTTACAGAAGTTAAGAAGGATGCCTAGAGAGAAAGGATATTTTTAATTATATCACTTTTGCTTTCATTTATATGTCGTGAATGTAGTTAAAATGATTTACCAGTACAGGATCTATTTTATAATTGCATAATTATCAGTTAGCAATATACGTATGATCTAATTATTCACATCCTATTTTAAAACACAAGGGTTGCATGGTGCTGGCAGGACGGAAGAACCCTGACGTTCCACTTGAAGGATATCTCGTTGCTCCAATACAAAGGATATGCAAGTATCCACTTCTGTTAAAGGTACTTCAAATAAGGACGTGTTGTTACATGCCACAGACATGTATATGTCAAAGAAATGCTTTCCCACATCAACGGAATGTAGTGGTGTTCTGATTGGGATTGACCCTTAGAAATCTTTCATTAAGTCTTTGCTGTTTTGAAAGCATGTTTCTTAATTTTGTGTCTTTTTCACAGCCTGATTTCCCTGTTACTTTGCAGCACTGTTGTGTGTACTATACCAGAATATTCATAAATCTACAGCATATGCAACACTACTGAAAAAGAGTAGGTTAAAAATGTTGTGGATTCATCTGTCTAGACTGTGGTTCAACTAAGCCAGTCTAAAATTTCCAAAAGTGATGAGTAACAAATGGAACAATCTGCTTTTTTCTAAAGAACAACAAGTTGTTTCTTTGAAGACCTTGGAATTATTTAGGGAAGTATATATTTTTGTAAGCCAGTGTCTATTTTTGATATCATGGCATGCAAGTGTTTAAGTAATTATATTTAGCTCATTTTTTAAAATGTTTGACATGATGATTCTGGCTGAGAACTTAGATTCAATAATGTAAGTCAGAATCACAGAATTCTTCATGGAAATATTACAGTGCAGCAATAGGCTACTTGGCCCAGCATATCTGCACCAGCTCTCCAAAGTGGCAAGTCATCTAACATAATTCTCCTGTCTTTTCCCTACAACCCTTGTTCCATCCAATTCCCCTTTGAATGCCTTGATTAAACCTGACCCCACCACACTCCACACCCTAACCATTTGCTACATGAAAATGCTTTTCCTAAGCTCATTTTGACTGCTTTTATTAATTATTTTTAATCCGCGCCCTCTCATTCTTGATCCATTCACAAGTTGAAACATTTCCCCCTACCTTAGATTGTTAAGAACTCTCATGACTTTGAGTACTTCAATCAGTCCTTCTTTTAGTTTTATCTTCTCCAAGCAGAACAGCCCCAGCTTCTCTAACGTATCTTCATCAGTGAAATTCCTCACCCTGGGAAGTATTTTCATAAACCCCTTCCTGCAACCCCTGCATATTCTTCCAAAAATTAGGTGCCCAGACCTGACTACAATGCACCAGCTGTAGTTGAACTCTTCTCTCAGAGATCTTCAACTTAACCCTCTAGCTCTAGCTCTTAATGTCCCTATTGATAAAGTCTGGAGAATGCTATGCTTTATTGATCACTCCCTAACTTCTGTCTCAACCTGTCCTACCACCTGCAATGATGTATGCACATATACTCACAGGTCCCTTTGCTCCTGCAACTTCTTTAGAATTGCACACTTCCTGTTGCTATTCTTCCTATCAAAAATGTATCACCTCACACTGCTCTGCATTGAGTTTCATTTGCCACCTGCCTACTCCACAAACTTGTTTCTGCCCTTTTGAAATGTCTACTCTCCTCTCCTCCTGACAATTTACAATTCTCACTCCTTGCTGTCTTCAAGAGGATGAGCAAGAATGGAGAGAAAATGAGGATCTGAACAGCAGTATGCACGTCCTGCGAATAAAGATTTTAAGAAAAATCAATTGACTATGATGTTCAGGAAAAAGACTCCAAACCTTCACCATTTTCTTACTAACACAAACCATGGAGAATTGTGTCAAAATCATAATTGGCTCTTGTCAAAGTGGTTGTGATGAAATGATGCTGACTTCTTAACCTTGCCACTCAAAAATGGCTACCAAATATTACTTTTTAAAGTGACATGAGGACAGGTGCTGGTCTAGTGGTATTATCAATAGACTATTAACCCAGAGACTCCGATAGTATTCTGGGGACCTGGGTTTGAATCCTCCCATGGCAGATGGTGGAATATGAATTCAATAAAAATCTGGAATTTAGAGTCTAGTGATGACTATGAATCTGTTGTTGTTTGTTGGGGGAAAACCCATGTTCTTCAGGGAAGGAAATCTGCCAAACTTACCTGGTATGGCCTATATGTGACTCCAGACCCACAGCAATGTGGTTGACTCTTAACTACAATTAGGGATGGGCCATGAATGTTGACCTAGCTAGAGGTGCCGACATCCTGCGAATAAATAAAAAAAAGGTCAACTCCTTGAGGAAAGCCATCTTGTTTCCATTTATATCTCAAAGTTGTTAACATTTTTAAGAATGTTGTTTTTTGAGTAAATGTATGTTAACATTCATTTAGGAACTGATGAAGAGGACACCAAAAAGGCATAATGATCATGCAGCAGTAATTGAGGCTCTACAGGCCATGAAAACTGTGTGCTCCACCATAAATGAAGCCAAGAGACAAATGGAAAAGCTAGAAGTTCTGGAAGAATGGCAGTCTCATATAGAAGGATGGGAGGTAATACTATTGCAAATTTTTAAAGCTCCAAACTGAAGGCTATCCTATCAGCAGGTACCAAAATGTGCTTTCCTGATTGAATTCATAACTATGTACAAGCAAATAAATAATAACAATGGTAGGCCACTTGGTCCTTTGAACAGAATCTGACATTCAATAAAATCATGGTTGGTCTGATTTTAACTCAACTCTATATTTCTTCCCAATAATCTCTAATCGTCAAGAATCTACTGACATCTGCATGAAACATATTTATAGATTCTGTATCCATAGCCTTTTGAGGAATCGAAAGATTTACAACCCTCTGAAAAAAATAAAAGCTTCCTCATCTCTGTCTTATATGGGCAAACCATATTAACTCTTTAATCTATGACTCCTAATTCTAGATTCTCTCAAAAGAAGAAACATCCTTTCCACATCCACCATTCTCGTCCCCTCAGAATCTTATATGTTTCGATTTATCATCTCTGACTCTTCTAAACTTAAAATGTACAGGCCCAGCCTGTCTTGTCTCTCCACATAAGGCAATCCATCCATTCCAGGGATTAGTCTGGTAAACCTTTACTGAACGGTTTCCAATGCATTAACATCCTGTACTGTACATTGTGTACTCCAGATACGGTCTCACCAATGCTGTGCATATTTGAATCATAACCTCACTATTCTCGCATTCAATTTCTCTCATGAGAAATTATAACATTCTGTTGACTTTCCTGATTAAAGATTTTGAAGATTTAGAAATGATTGATTTATGATGGAATATGGCAACATAAAGGGGAATAAGCTTGAAGTGAAAGGCAGGAGGCTTAGAGGGCATTTGAGGAAAAACTGTTTCATCCAGAAGGTGTTGGGGACCTGAAATGCATTTGCTTGGGAGGATAGTTGAGGCAGGAAACCTCATAACCTTTAAAAAGTATTTCAATAGAATCCCTAAAGTGCTGAAGCAGGCTGTTTGGCCCACACCACCCTCGAAAGAGCATCCTACCCAGACCCACCCTCTACCCCATCCCTGCGTTTCTCATGGCTAACCCACCTAGCCTGCACACTGTGGGCAATTTAGCATGGTCAGTCCACCTAACCTGGCAATCTTTGGACTGTGGGAGGTGACCACATCACCTGGAGGAAACCCATTTAGACACAGGGAGAATGTACAAACTCTGCACAGGCAGTCACCCAAGGGTGAAATCGAACCCAGGTCACTTGGATGAGCACTTGAAGTGTCATAACATTCAAGGCCATGGACCTAGTTTGGGGAATTGGGACCAGCGTAGGTAGTAGAGTGTTTTTGGTGGTACAGACTTCATGGGCCAAAGGGCCTCTTCTGTACTGTATGATTTTATGATTTCTAACTTTTAAAGGATCAATATTTTCTTGAATCATTGCCCCAGATCTTCAGGTCTCTGGACCATTGGAAACTAGAAGTATGACCTAAGATATATGTCACAATCTGTGACATTCTGACTTCATGAGAATTGCCTGCAAGTTTTTACTTCTGAATGCCCTGGGACCCTCAAAGTCTCTGAGTCTGAGTTAGACATGGAGGCTGAAGACAGTTCTGACTTACTTACCTTTAGTTACACCAAAAAAATGTTAGAAAGAAAAATCCCAGTCTAAGTCCTTGGCAACTAAACAATTTAACCTCACATTTCTTCCTTGAATCCGATCCTCAACTCAGATTGACCCTTGCTGTGACCCCTGACTTATCTTAAACACCTTGGCTCCCTCCTTACTCCTTCCTCATTTCCCAACTTCCTCAGAGAGTCTTATTCACCTCCTATCTCCTAATCTGACCACCCCTCCTGATTTGATCCAACAACACACTTCACCTGTTTGCCACTGTACCCAGTTGCCAACTCACTCACCTGTCTCCTTCCCATTTACCTAGTTACCTCACGTCACATTATCCAATTACACACCTACATATTCATTCACACCTTCATTCAAATGCCCCAAAGCATTTCGATGTATTAGTGAACCCCTAGCAGATTACATAAGGTGGCACTGTAAAATGGGTCATAGCTGGTCAATGGTTCCTCCCATGATACCGTGCTACAGGAAGCAGTTGAATTTCAGCATCAGAAGACCTGGCTGGAAATGCAGAGTTCTGTTGTGTTGTGTAAAAGTAAGAGTGGAGCAACGATCCAGCAGTGGTTGTGGTTCCTTAGAGGATTGAGACCATAGAATTCTGCCTGTGCCTGTGCCAACTAGAGTCATACAGCATGGAAACAGACCCTTTGGTCCTACTCGTCCATGCCAACCAAGGTTCCCAAACTGAATTAGTCCCATTTGCCTGCATTTGGCCTATATCCCTCTAAACCTCTATCCATGTGCCAGTCCAAATGATTTTTCTCTTTGATTGAATTTCCCAATTAGTTCCACTTCACTGCTCTTGTTCCATAGCACTGTAATTATTTCTCTTACCTTTATTTACGGCACTTAAAACCTTCATGATTTAAACCATCTGTCAAACTGCCTTTTGATCTTTTCTGGTCTGAAGAGAGCAACTGGAGTAGTTCGAATCTCTCTCACCTCCTCAAGTAGCTAAGCACTTCCATCCTTAATGAAGCTTCTCTTTAAGTTGTTGATTTTTTTCCCAAAAGGATGATGCTCAGAGCTGGTCACCATGCTCCCTACCTAATTCTCTAAAACCCGGCTGCACTTTATTAAGGATAAGTCAGGAGTGTAATGGAACACTCTTTCCTTGTCCAAATGAGTGCAATATTAAAAGCAAATTACTGCGGATGCTGGAAATCTGAAGCAAAAACAGAAATTGCCGGAGAAACTCAGCAGATCTGGCAGCATTTGTGGAAAAGGAAGCAGAGTTAACATTTCAAACCTAATATGACTCCTCAGTTCTGAAGTCATTGTTCTCGAGTGTTTTTTTCACTCCACAGATGTTTCCAGACCTGCTGAGTTTCTCCTGGGTGAATGCAACTCCATTGATACCCAGGAAGCTTGACACCATCCAAGACAAAGCAACTCACTTTACTGGTGCCCTGGTTAAAGACCTTAACCCATTCACTTTCCCCACTATTGATATTCTATTCTCTTTCAGATGCACTGTGCAATGTGCCACTGCTCCTTTGAAAGTACCTTCAAATTCCTCTGCCACTTAGAAAGCCAAAGGGTCATGTGCTGCTTATAGACAGCTGTTTTCTAACATAGAGCTCTTGCTTCCAACTCAATTAGAAAATATCTCCCACTTCACAAACAGAGACCAGAAAAGACTCTCAAGGCTACATCCTAATAATCGTTAACTTCTATAAACTACTTAATTTGAAGAGGGATGAAGATAAAACATTAGCATTGGCCTTTTTCCTGGGTGGTGTTTCTTTACTTAAAAATGTTCAGGCTGTTTTTGTGACCTTGAGTCTCCCTGTTTCTCTGCAACCTCCTCCAGTCCATAAAACTCTTTCGATTCTGGCCTCCCACGTAACCTCTATTCTAATAGCTCCTCAATGACAGCCATGCTTTCAGCTTCACTGGTCTGAAGCCCTGGACTTCCCTCCTTAAACCTTTCTACCCGTGTCACCTATTATAAGCTGCTATTTAAGGGTTATTACTCACTTGTCCTAATATGTCCGGTAGTCATGGTCAGATTTTGTTGCAGAACACTCAAGCGAAGCATCTTCAGTTGTTTCCTCTGACAAAAGCATGAGTTGTTATATAAATGATTTATTGTTGTTGTTTGGTGGTAATTTGATAGCAAGAAAGGTAAACTCAACTTCACCTGTGATGTAAAACAGGCAATTGGAAATTGGCTGCCCTTTATCCATCTCACCTAACTATCCTTTCCATTAACATTGTTCATCTTCCAACTGTTTTTATTTCAGCACCAAGGATGAATGTCACTTCCAGTGTTGTGGAGGTTCCTGTGTTGGATTGGGGTGGACAAGGTCAGAAGTCACACGACGACAGATTATAGTCCAATGTTCCTGATGAAGGGGCAACGCTCTGAAAGCTTGTGATTTCAAATAAATCCGTTGGACTATAACCTGGTGTTGTGTGACTTCTGACCAGTTCCACTGTTGTTATAGTTGGCAAGTTCATGAGATCGTATAATGGCTATTTGTAGGGAATTTGACAATGACACTGCCATGGTTTGTGCTATTGTTTGCACCAGGCTTACAATGAGGTCTGAAGCTGAGTACTGCTGGTGAAAAAGATTTCAAACATTTGTGAGCAGGTTATTAGTTGTAATACCGTAGATGGCTTTTTCCATCACTTTGCTAATGGATTATAGTAGGGCAGTAATTGGATTGTTTGGATTTGTTCTGCCCTTAGTGAACAGGACACACCTGAGCAAGTTTTGCACTTACTCAGATGTTGTACTTGGAGCTGTTGTGTAACACATGGCTGGAGATATGGCTAGTTCTGGAACAGAAATATTAAGTACCACAGCTGGGATGTTGTCAATTCTAGTTACTGGACTGCGCTAAGGACATGTGGGTTTATGGAAGTTTGGGAAACTGGAGACCATCTAATATTGGTGATTTGACAGCTGACACTTGAGCTCTTGCAACATATTGCAGTAGTTTGATTTTATATCCCAATAAATGATGACTTGGGGCGATCTAATTTAAGAATTGTAATTAAGTAGAGTTAAACCAAACCTTGATACGCTTAAGACAGTCACGAATAAAAGATAAATTTACCGCCTCTGCGTCATTTAGAAGGTGATAAACATATGGTTCAGGGAGATGATGGAGGTAGTTAGTGTTAGAATGTGAAGAACTGAGCAGCCCTTTGTGGAGGCAATGGCCTAGTGGTATTATTGCTAGACTATTAATCCAGAAACTCAGCTAATGTTTTGGTGACCTGGGTTCAAACACTGCCACAGCAGATGGTGGAATTTGAATTCAATAAAGAATCTGGAATCAAGGGTCTAATAATGTTGATTGTTGGAATAACCTACCTGGTTTACTAATATCCTTTATGGAAGGAAATCTGTTATCCTTATCTACTCTGGCCTGCATGTGACTCTAGACCCACAGTAATGT